CTATACAACGAAAGGAGACTGCGACCACACAAAAGGCCACACCATCTTGGTCTTCATATCTTCAATAAAACAGGAAACTGAGCATTGTAAAATTGGCCATACTAAATGAGTATGGCTGCAACCGGCCTTTGCTTATTGCATTTAATGTGCTTTTTCGCAAAATATTCTTTATTGCTCTGACGATGTCTGGCACGACGGGAGGACAGACGAAAGTCTAGCACTGGTTGATCTTCACACGATCCAACAGTCCTCAAACCCGAGCTGCGGTTGTGCAGCGAATAGCCACGAGTGGTTTTGGGTAAGGCTAGGCAATCTTCCTTCGGTTTCTGGTCAGACCATTTCACAAATTCTTTCAATCTAACTTTTTCTTCGAAATGGAAAGTCATGCCGCATCATTTGGTGGGATTGTCGATGAAGCAAAGTTGTATTTTAATATAGGCATCGACTTTGTTACCTATTTTTTTTCATTTCATAATTATGTTTTTGAGCCTATCAGTGTAGCATTTATATGAGATATATTCACACTATTTAGTCGAAGGTGATAAGGGGACTGGTAGTCACATTTTCACACAACAATATGAGTATACCTTACGTTTCCATGGAATTTCACATTGCTTTGCTTTTTGAAAAGGTTTTCTTAAGTTTATGTGAAATTGAATAAAAACGCAAGGTCTATTCATACGATAGTGTCCCCTTATCACCTTAGACGAAATAAGGTGAATACATCTTACATCTACTCGTAGTCTCGAAAGTCTTATGTTGAACGAAAAACAAATGGACAACTGGTTTAAGAAGGACATTCGATGAGTAATCATACCACAGCATGCCTCAATGCGTGTTGATGGTCTGCGCGCCTTAGAAGAGATGTCTTCAGAGTGAGAAACCAATGTCAAGCCAGGTTTGTACAATGGCCCAAGTGAGAGAGAAATTTTCACACTTGGCATAGTCGAAATGGAAGACTGGTCAAGGTAGAAAAAGTCGTCTCAAGACGAGAAGAGACCCTGTGACAACGAAGTAGATTCATACCATGTCCATCTGCCAGGCCTGGCATTTGCAGGAAAATGAAGCGACCACAAGAAGTACCAACCACGCGGTTGCCAAGCCCTCGGAGATCAGACAGCCAAATCCTCCGGTCACAGTGTGAATGGCGCGTGTCGTCAAAAGAATGGGCCACTTCAGACGGCAGGGTTTGAGGCCTGTCGAGGCATGTGGGCCGCTCTGCCTGAAGAGGCGTGGGATGGGCCTGTCCGGCACTCCAAGTGGGACTCGAACCTGGGCAATGCAACTTTGTTGGTCATCCCACCACAGAATTGTGATACGGCAAAGGCCTAGGCCTCTGTCAAATTCACCTCTGCCCTGTGACTTAAGGTCGCACGAAATCGAATTGTCGAGACTACCTGAGTTCGAGTCCCGCCGGGAGACGAGTTCAGGCAAGATCCAAACTACAGTCCACTCGAGTTTGAATAAAAATACCTTTTGGGAAGCAAGGCTAAGTGAAATGGAATGGAAACATTAGGCCTACTCGTAGAATTTGAGTGGAATTCAACTAACTAGTCCTTCATCACCTTAACCGAAATGATGTGAACACAGTTCTTATATCAAGGACCTGGTTTGCC